TTACAAATACTGGATTACTTATTCATAATAATATTGTCTATTATTGTAGATTAATATAATGTAAACATGATCTTCCTTTAAATACTAAACAAGTTAAAATATGCAATCAAAATAGTTCAAGGTTATATTTTGTTCAATAAATAATACAGAAATAAAAATAATATGAAATAAATATAAATTACATACAAATAATAAAAATACATACATATTTGAGTAAGGAGGCTTCACTTATTAGCTTGCTTTGTTTGGTACCTGAAAGTTTTAGGTGGTCCCAGGATTAGGTCTTCCATTATTAGAAGGCTAGCTGCATGATTAAAGGTTGTTAGTTAGTACTTTGAAAAAGTGGTCTCAAATAATTGAGGGTCTTTGATTTAGATGGGTCCTAAATTGAAGGGCGCAAGTCTGTAAACAATGTATGTAGCTTGGATTTTAGTATCATTTCAATCTCAACCATGTGGAAAAAAACACCAACTTTGCGCTGAGGTGTGTACGCACACTGCTAAGTAGATTTAGTCACCATTTCTAGCTTAAGATGTTGCAGTTGATGTGGGATGCTATGTAACAAGATTAATGCATTAACACATTTGTGCATTGTACATATTGCATAAATGCTTTGAGAAAAATTACATGAACAAATCTATCAAGTGTGTCAAGGTACTATCATCCGTAAGTAGATATGAATCTGTCTATTATAAGAAAGTTGGCGAAATAATCTGCACTCATCAACGAAAAACCTCTTAAAACTCAATTAACCATTTCGAGGGGGATTTACAAGGCAAAACGTATCCTGATCATACACACAGACATGGATTAGAAAAGATTAAAGGAAATCTAAAGGAATGCAATCCCTGCTAATGAATATGCCATCTACATGTGTCCCAGATTCTAAAACAAGAAGCTTGGATTGGCATCGGCACGGCTTGTAACCTCTATAACTGTACAAAGACATATTAATCTCTTGGTATCGCTAATCACCTGGTCTGGATTTCATCGCAACTAATAACTAAGCTGAGCTTAGTTACTAATCTCTTTGATTAATCTTTTCGTGATCTTGTTGGCCGTCGCCTGGCAGCGCTATAGCAACGGTTGAGTAAGAGCCGTGGATTTAGCCTAGACCGCAATCAAATACGAAATCCAGTGAAGCAGCTATTTCACACATTCGTTGCATGTTTCTAAATCATGCTTTAAAAAAAGAGCGAGGGAGTCGATAATTATGAACAAAACCCCCTTGGAGATATGTAATTATTCAAAAGTAATGTATGTTGGTTTGTGTGTGTACATAGTGGGTCAAGGCTAGGCCTAGATTTGATCTGTCTAGAGTAGGCCACAACTGCATTTTAAGTTAGAAAATTTCTTATTGTAGGCCTACGAATCTTTCCAGCCTAGACTGAACATTGACGATTGATAATGGTGATTTATCAAATTGTTTCAGACGTATAATGTTGCCGCAATTTTTACCCTCAATACACGCATGGTACGAAATGTTCTATAACTAGTAATCATGTCCAAAAGGTTACTGCAACGCTATGGCAATGCCCATCGAAAAAGGGGGGGGGGGTTTTAATGTAATGGCTTATTACTAATGGAGAAGAATTCAGAGATTCATTTTTTGTCATATATTCGTCAGGCTTTATTAACATGGATAGGCCAGAGACAATTATCATCAGGACAAAGAAGTGTTCAAGACCCAGGTTTAAGTTCACTCTGAGCTGTGGTTTAGCAACTGAACAATAAGGTAATTAGAACGATATTGCATTTATTGTCAATTTAGAAAATAAGCTGAGAATAATCAAACAGCGTTATGACTATGATCAAAATATCCAGGATTATTCATATGGCAATAAATTCTAAGTGCTATAGAAGGCAGTTCGATTTTAATAACTCCTTAGTCTTCATTTGCAATGAAACAACAAAGGGTTTTAGAAGCACTAATTTAGATATCCAATTAGCATTAACAACACCACTCGTACAAACATGGACATTACACAAGTGATTTTCTTGCGAATACGCTTTCAGAATATCATAATTAGAGATGTTATGAAAATATATTTCACGATAAATAATATTTTAGGTTATTTAATTACAAATATTTCACTGTTAATATTGATCACTGTTTGGTGGCAGCATCACACGTGGTTACTCTCACCAAAATCTTTCAAATTCTTAGTGTATCATCCATCATTGAAACACATTCTTGAGTGGTAACCTTATCATAATTATTAACCAGCAATAAGCACAACCATTATTATCATCACAATCACAATTATTCTCAAAATCATCTTAAATGACAATTATCAGTTTTATTATTATTAATATTATCAACAATCTCTTCATGATAATCATAATTATGACAATATCATTATTAATGTCTTCTGCATTGCACAAATATCACGATCAATCTCTTCATAATCAGTATCACTGGCATAATCACAATCATGATGACGATGACATCATTAATTTGCTTATCATCACAGACGATATCATCCAATCATCAATCATTTCATCATGAATACAATGTTATCTTCCCCACCATCAAAATAACATTATTCAGTGGCAGATTCAAGGAGGGAGGAAAGCGGCCCTGCCCTCCATCCCTCCCCGAATTTCTCGAAATTGTAAAAAATTGGAGGGAAAAAAAAATTACATTCAAATTTTAAGTCTGAGAGTACCATTTCTGACCATCTACACGTGACATAATCGTAAATGTTCTTACCTCAGCGCCAACCATGGTGGGGCTGAGGTGGTATAGACCCTCCATCTGTCAAAGTCTTTCCCTGCCCCCCCTCCCCTCTATTTCAAATTCCTGGATGCACCATTGTTATTATCATCATTATCAATCTCTTCCTTACCAATTGTTGTTCATCATCAAAATCATGATCCCCAATAGCACCTTTATCATCACGATCAAAAATTATCATCACTGTCTTCCTCACTCTCAAAATGACCACTATTATTAAACTAAATTCTTTCTGAATTCCCATATTTCACTTTAATACTTTAAGGCATCAGCATTGATCATCTTCAAATGATCATCATCATCAACTGCATGAACATTTCTAGTTTAGCGGAGTTTCCTACAAGTAAAGCAAGCTCTGGGGGGATTTTGGGGACACAAATCTAGTGGGGATATGGTGATAAATTAATGTTTTAATGATGTAAAATTTACTGATCTTGGAATCTCTGATGCAAAGGGAATGCTATAGATGTTGAACTTCAATTTCCACTCGATTACATTTTTAGTGAATGACCTTCACATTAAATACCAACATTAAATACATTTAATTATTCTTGAATTAATTATATTTTTGTTGAGACATACACACTATCATATCAAAACACTGAGCTTTACCCAAATATTTACTTTACTGTTACATGATTACATATATTAATTAATTTTAGATGTATACAGTGCTACTGTACATCTAACCATTCAAAATTACTTTGCAATGAAAACAGCAGGCCTACAGTCATGATGTAAAAACCCATCTGCTTCCTAGCAACGCATTACTATGCAAGACTAAATACATTCAACAAACAACATACGCATTTTACAAGACCAATACCGTGGATGTGTCTTCGCTAAGAATGACCTACTCATGATTCGAACCCTGACTAAACATTCCTTAACACCTCATCTGTAATGCAATCATTAGACCCATCCTCAATCATCACATCCTACTGTAAGCATCATCTGGGACTTTTGAGAGCAGAGTTAACACTAGAATACCATAGCAACCATGTCATATTCTATACAAATAATGCTACTCATCATGTTTCGTATTATCAGAACCAAAATCATCATCCTCAAACACATCATAAATCATATCTCTTAGACCTCTCAGAGAATTCCAAATTTAAAATCTTTAAAAAGATTTCCAGAGCAGAAATAACATCAAGATCCCATTATTAGTACAGAGACACATGTACAGTAGGTGTTGATTCTTTTAACTGCTACTCCATTATTATCACTGAAGCCTCTCCCAAACCCACTGATTAAAGCTCATTTGCATATGGCCGCCATTATTGATAAGATAACTCTTCCATTTTGCCAGGCACATTATAAGATAAGATTGTTCTTAATCACCTGATCTCTAATAAGTTTTATTTAGTATCACGACAAGCTCATTATCGGCGTAGTATACCTGGTTTTCATTATCAGCCGCCCTTCATTAACACGGACGAGCAATAAACAGATCCCGCAACTCCGAGCACTGTGCCATTCACTTGCATCTTTTAACAAGTCGGAATAATTAGTAAATTTGTCAGAATTGGATTAGATCTGTTCGTTGTCTACTCATTAATCAAGTTATCCCCTTCGTGTGGTGTCATGACGATGACGTCTTCCCTCCCCAACCGACTATGTTATTATATTACTACAAATTACAATGGATTTTCTTGTACTGGAAAATCGTTCTGTTATTGACGAGCGTTAAAACAATTCAGTCCTGTATAGTATTCTTAGGGAGCCCTTAATGCAATCACTGCTTAATCTGACAAAGAACCCTGATAGAAACGGTGGGTGGCACCAGATATAAGAGAATCAACTGTTACTAACGTACAAACCGCTGTTAGTCCCGACTTGCAATGACTCGAGTAAAACTATAGGGCCCATGTAAATAAAATTCAATATTAAATTGTTATGTATGCTAACTTTTAATTGAAAATTAGAACAGGAAAAACCGTTCTTGCCAATAAACACATTAACAAATACAGTTAAACTTGTCTAAATCGAATTTGCCTAACTCAAACAATTTCTTTTAAGTCGATCTTATTTTACAGGCCAAATTGCTGTGTTTTCCATTAACGATCTGTAAGTCCAATATTTTATCCAAGTCGAACAATTTTTCAATGCCATTTTGGATTTGACTTAAGCAAGTAATATCATTCTTATATTCTGCATTGACCATTAAATTTACTAAAAAGTAAAATGTCTAATTAATGAATGAAAACTAAATTGTTTAGATTCTGTGTATATTTAAAAAAGTTGATACCTTATTGATACATTTATGAAATATTCCAAAGGTTTAATTAAATTTTTCTAAATATAATTTCAGAGTTTATTTTTTTAAATATTTTGTAGGTTCTTGTTTTATAAGCTACTTATATTCTTCTAAGCTTTTTTATTTTAACCATGCCGATTCATTGTGTTTTTTTCTTTGAAAGGCCAACCTCATCAACTATTTAACATAATGCAGATCTCTCATCCTACTTGCACACTTTTAGGAGTACGAAGTAGTTAATTGCTTCTGACAATAATGCGTATAAAATATTGAACAGACGATAATAAAATTTAAGTCATAACAAATCTAATTTCTTCGAGATTATATCAAAATGGTGAATCATTCAGAAGAAAGGTTTCTTTAGCCGGCGTCTCCAGTGTCACATGGTTACCTTATCAATTAAATCACCGCTTTTCCCCCCAATTTCAAATTTGAAACATATGCTATATATTCTACCACACCATTAGTAACAATTACGTTTAAAAACAAAATGCTATTTCCACTTGCTCTATGCATTATCTCGGTTTAGAGGAGAAAATCGTAAATGATGTAATTCTTTTAAATACTTCTAAATCAATCGAGTCATGCATGTTTTCGATGTGTAACAGTGTTGCAGGGAAATGCAGATTAAGTCTAGATTTTCGTCAACGTTGCTGCCCTTTCTCTGATCCACACGGTAATTTGCTCCAATCCTAAACAAGCAATTACTTAAGCCTGTTCGTAAGCCTTCTTCTCGAGACTCTGGGCCGTAAGTTTACCTGGATTTCACAGGACAGAACACATGTACTTCTTGCCCCAGAAGACCTAAACACCTGCTTTGCGTTAAACAACTAATTTTCAAAAACATTTTGACAGAATAACCTCCTTTTTTTCTCTCTTAAAAGTTTACTCACTTTTTATTTGACTGGATTGTGAACTGTCAACATGTACCAATCTGAAAGAATAAAAAACAAAGGATGTTTTTATTGCAAATGTAATATTTTATTTTAAAACAAAATAAATACTTTTACCACAAATTTGCATTTTTTTTTTTAATGCAGTAAATGGTAAAGTGCAGTCAACTGTTTGTTTACCCTTTTGTACATTCCTAAAAATATCTTATTTCTAACAAACCTAAATGTATGTGAACAGAAAAATTATCCAAAATAAATTTAAATAGAAAAAAAAAACACTGTCTTCTATTTGAAAAGCACTGATCAATTAGCATTGTTTTTGTTACTCCAAATATTTATTTTCTTTTAGTAATCTCAGCTTCTGAACATTTATAATTGTACCCTTATTATTGATGATGCTATTCTGAAGTATTATTATTATTATTATTATTATTCCCACCACATATTCTATGAGTGTTTACTTGGTTCCTATTTCCTGATAGCAATCATAATTCTCAGTGATCAGTGGTTTTCAAAATGTTCAGGAAGAAATGTTCCGTAATTGCGTATGTTTTAGCTTTCTTCAACAAAGTAGTTTTGCTCAACCCAACAAACTGTCCCACTTGAGTCTCAACCAGAATAACAGCTGGGTTACAACTAGTCATAAAATGTATACAATTTCATATTCTTCATATGATCAACGCATCTATTACAGAGCGATAAATATTTGTACATCTCCCAAATGCGTAGGCAAGGCATGAAGGTTCTTTCAGTTCAAGCATTTTTAATAGCAAACAATAAAAATACTTAATGATCTTTTTTTTGCTAGAATAATTTCCATTTTACAAAACTTGATATTACATTTGTCTTTGACAGTTAGAAAAATCATATCTGAACTAGAAATGAAAAAAGTCTTTATTGACAGAAAAAAACCATTCACACAAAATTCTGCAAAAAGCTACTCATGCTTTTAAGCAATGAGTATCTAGTGTGTCAAGGTTCTGCATAGGCCTAGCTATATTTTGCCTTTTTTCGAAAAAAAATAAATAAAGACAAGGATATATCCTCATTTTCTTTTCAAAATTGTCAATCTAAGTGTACTGCATTCTACAGATTAATTTATTCCTTCTTTCATCTTGATGATAGCATTTTCAGTAACACAGCTTTTTGAAATAGCGTTGTTTGATCGCTTATATGAAAGTGATGGGCTGATTGCTAATTGTAGGTGAACATTGTTGATCTAATGCCGCTAAGAATGCCAACATGATTTGCCGGGCTCCTAAAACATTAAACAAAGGCACAGGAGAAAACATTAGCCTCACAATTTATTGGTTCCAATTAAACCATGACCCGGCGCTTGACTTTCAGTATTGAGCCTACTTCTTCCTGTATAATACCAGTAAACAACTTAAAGGGATACAGCTTCCATTGCAGTACATTTTAGGCCTAATGTAAATATCAAGAACTTAAAGGGATACAACTTGATTTCATGTCATTCTTATGGTTACTATTGAAACAATTTTATTGGGCTAAACAAATGGCTAAATAAAATTAATTGTTAGTTTCATGCCCAAGATTCGAAATTATTTATTGGTGAGGGAATTTACTATTTGCTTTTTACTATCCTATGCTAATGGTAAATTGGCTGGTAAATAATAAAAATTGTTTCTTTTAACATGAATCTTTGTAATGTATTTCTGGCATTTATGTTCTCACCTCTTTTTAGGCTTGACAGCGTGCTTTCAGAAAATCTGTTGTTTTGAAAAATAGCAAATAGTAAATTTTTCCATGAGGCTCCAATATTTGATGAGGGCAGAGATGTGACTAGCAATTAATTTTATTTGGCCTATACTACGTTCACTATTCTTTTGATTTGAACTTTGTTTCAAACTTTAGTTTAAGCACCCTCTGTTTACTTTGCCTTTCATTGATTGTTCTGTATGCACTTTCCATTAAGAAGTGTGCCACTGACAATAATATGTAGATTCAAGTAAATTATTATTAAAAACCTAAAAAAATACAGAGCCCTTTAATTCAAATCAATTTCAGGCTTTATGTATACAACCAGTAAACGAAAGGAAGAGGCCTTTGATTCTACAATATTTGTTCATTATTTATTAAGCCACAATTTTGATGTTATTTAAACTACGAAGCAATGTATTCTATTATACTAATAACATTAAAAGCTACTAGTTCAAAGAATTATTTGTATAGCTTTAAGCAGTTAGTAACTTAAAGGGAGACATGATACATTATCAGTTAACAATCTAAAAGTGTAGTCTTAATTTAAGTCATTATTTCAGGTAACAGTCATTCATCACATTAGAACATGTGGAACTAAATATGGTGTAATCAAACATATTTATCCACAGCCACGAGAGTCTTAACTGAAACTAAATACGTAGTTGATAAAATAAGGTTATGAAAAAAATCAACATAAAAACATTAATAATAAACTAATTCTGTACAAGAACTTAATCATCAATGAATCATAAAACAATAATAGCTGCAATTTAGTCTACATTATTATATAATATTGCACCATATAATCATATAATAGTACTTTGATCTTATGCAGTGTTTGGTACAGTGGGAGCACACCTCTACACTAATGATAATTACTTCAGTAACAAGGCTAAAGATAATTTTTATTTGATTAACAGGGCAAATATTGGTTCATCCTGTTAACAACCTGTTGCTGAGGTAATATTTAAAACTACTAATTGTCTAATCTGAACCCCTTTAACCCCGGTTATTATCAGTAATTCTGTTTGTGCCACAATAAATGGAGGCTTGGTTAATTATAAATCTTGTAGTCTAGGTCTATTAATCAAACTGGCTGATTAGACTCATGGATACAGACTTTTAATGGATGGTAACTATGATATATTAATATATGCCCATGGATGATTAGGCTTTGTATTTTCATTTCGTTGTTTAAACTTTAAAGGGGTTATCGAACAAGTTTACAATTGATTAACTTCAAGATTGCATTCATCCTTTCCTTTTTTTTTATGGAGAAATGTAAAATTCATTAGTCACTAAGCTATGATAAGATGGTGATTAGAGCCGCTTTCATGTACCTTTATACATTTTTTTGTTTATAAAAACCAACACAACTTTGAGTGAATAGATATTTCAAGTAGAAATATTTTTGGTGCCTATTTATATATACTTGGGTCTTATATGCTATAGTCTGCCAATAACAAGTGAACTAGATGAGCTATTAAGTTTAAAAAAAAAACAATTCTGTGGGTCGAACAGGTATGACTGCTCCCTGAAGGCAGTAATTCTCCGAAAATCTAATTTAAGTTTGGAAAAGTATGTAAAATATATAGTTCAAATTTAGTTCAATCATAACTTGGATTACAAAAAATGTAACACCCAAGAAAAATTGCATAATTGATTAAATGTAGACCCTAATTTTTCATACTTATTTTATTACAAGATTTAGATTAATATTGTTATAATATTTAGCAGCCAATTTCCCTTCAAATTACCCTTAGCCTTAATGGCTATCATTGATTTGACCATTGATCAATTTTTGGAGTTGCTTTTAAAAATAAATGTGAGATAATAATTGCTTTTTATTTAACTTTTTATTTAATTTTAAAATTTAATTAACATGTTATGTTAAAGATTTACTTAAATTGACTTAAAAGCAATAAATGTATTGTTAGTAAATAGCATCTTTTCACTCATTATTATTACACTGTAGGCCAATGGCAAAAAAAAATGATTCTGAATCATGTTCTTAAATGGCCTAAAAACAAGATTTGTTGCTATATTTAATAGGCCAATGGGGCCAACTGCAGGCAAATGGTGTTTGTTTTCATTTGTGTACACGCCTCTTACCTACAAATAAGTTTCCTTTTCTAGTAGATTTAGCATAATTACAAAAAAAAATTATTCAAATGAACCATTATTTTCTTGGAAGCAACAAGTTATAACAGCTGTGGGATATTATACCTGTTCAACTTTATTTTCATTTTCATGCAAAATGAGAGGTAATTGCCAAATACACGATGGATGTTCAATTTTACTTGGGTTTATATAAAAATAAAAAAACCAAAAATAATAAGATTAGATTAATTGTGGGTATAAGGGAAGAGGATGAATAGATAAGAGAAATTTGGTAATAATCTTTTACTTGATTGAACCTTGTACATTACAGCAGCAGGGTGGGCACTACAACAACTAATTCATACTTTCCCTACAATTTAAAAAAAAAATACAATAATTATCAACAGACTAGTCAGTGGGCAGTAAACTTGTGATGTGAAAACATTCTTAAGTGCCAGGTTTAAGATATTAAGTATAAAAACAAAGAGGCATAAGTTTGCTGGACTGACGTCAATTAATTGGTGGAGCTAATGAATGCAGGAAAGGCACTACCATGGTAAATCACTTTCAATTAAACTTTCTCTGATTTCTAATTACTACAAATGTTGCACGGAAACAGTAGATAGCAATTCCAGACAGTAACAAAACAACAGGGGGAAAAGATGATTTAACTTATGTACAGTAGGCCTTCGTGGGATATGCTTCATCAGAATATACATAAGTAGTACCGTGAAATATTATACATAAGTAGGACCTTGATGTATTATATCAAACATAAACGTTTAAACAGTTAACAAACCCTAGATAAACAATGTTTGGTGGCGCTTTGTGCTAAACTTGATGTGAGATTACACGTTTGCGAAACAAGTGCGTCTTCCCGGATTGTCTCCCGGTGTACTGCCCAATCACCACCAGAAGGTCCCCACTGGAAATAATAATTCTTCAGATTTCTGCCGGTTATGGGATAACTCCATCCATCCACCCCTGCCCTATTCTGATTGGTCAACAAGTCAAAATTATACAGTCAATCATCAATATTTTGATTTGAATTTTGCAGCTTTTCCATGTAGTGAGGGCGCACTATCCCTAAATATAAAATACAGGCAAATTTCGGTTACTGTAGCCTGGTAAAATATACACTTTGTTTCCAGAAATCTTGTCGAAACACAGAATGTGCATTCTCTTGAAAGAAGTCTGTTAAATAGATACCATTCTCATA